ACATGGGATAAAGAAAATAACAAGCATAGAGGGAAACAGGAAAGAATCTGTCAAATAAAAATTAAAACAATTTTCACCATAATTGGCTGGCAGTGTAGAATTGGGAAGCACAAGAAAAATAGTGGAAGAATGAATCCTTAGAAAACACAATGACAGTGTCTTACAATAACCCTCTTCAAACTGAGATGTGGAGAAATGTGTAAAAAGCAAAACTGGCACAGATCTTGATTATAATTTTGGATCAGCTTAAGACAATATGGCTCAAGAGAGCAATTTGCAAGTACTCACAAAACAAGACTTGACTCAGTAATTTATTTTACTGAAATCACAATTCTACAAACAAAAAGGAAAGAAGGAAGGAAGCAAGCAAGAGAAGCAAAGAGAGAAGTAGGAAGGGAGGAGGGAGGCAGGGAAGAAAAGAAGGATGTGGAGAGGAAGAGAAGCAAATGGGAAAAAAAGCATAAATGCTGGTTTGAGTTTATATTTAGGACAGCTATTATCTCCCAAATAATGGACTTACCTTAAATACACATTAATTTAAAAGTTATCTAATTTTTATTTTCTTTCAGTGTTCAGATTATAGTTAATATTTATTTTCAAATTGTTTCTTTAAATTTGATCCTTTTTTATTTGCATTGTATTTCCAACTTTACTTCCTACTCCACAAATGTTAAAAAAAAAAAAGCAACAGTTTACACAGCATAATGCAACTGAAAAGGGGAGGTTTTCAACATTTGCAAGCATGTTAAATTCTAATTTTGGTGAACAAAGATGAAAAGAGAAAGATGCTTTAAACTGTTCAGTAACATGAATTTACACAGCAAAGAAAAAAAATCTGTGAAGAAATGCCTTCTTTCACTGACCTCCAAAACAAGTACTTATTACATGCAAACTTTCTTTCACAAGCATTTGTATTTGCATTGTAGTAACCTTTCTGCATTTTCTGGAGAGAAGAATCCAAAGGCTTTAAATTCTTAAGCATTAGAATGCTTAAGATGCCTGCATAGTACATATAGAAAGTTTCCTTTTGGGAATAGAAAAAAGAAAATTCAGTTTTAAGACCTGAATTATTTCCTAAATTATTTCCTAAATAATGGTTGTTTAGTATTATTAATATTGTTGTATAATAGCATTAATATATTAATAAACTTTAATGGGCAAGACTGGCTTTACATTTAAATGCCTGATCCAACTTAAAACTATTCTAAAGGTAGAAAAAAATGAGGACATTTGATAAAACATAAAAAACTGATGTAAGACTTTCCTCTGAGTGGAGAGTTAAACATAGTGGTTGAGGTCAATAAGAAGTACATCCTACAAATTCCATATTGGTGAGTCTAGCACTTACCAAAGGAATATGAGCACCATTTTGTGTTCATAAAGAATAATCCTTAATTTGTGCCTTTCTAGTGTTATACCTTAGCGGCAGGGGATGAGGGGAGTAGTCTTAATTAAATTAAATTCAAGCAGTAATGATTTCACACCCTAAAAGTATTCTTATTGGAGAATAAAGCAATATGTCAGGTTTTTTAAAAAAGGCATTCATACTCACAAAAATAAATTTTCTTAGAGTATGTAAGAGTTATGCTTGATATATGTAAAATGGAGTTAGATTATCCCCAGAGTTTTATTTTTATATATAGGCCATAAAAATCAGTCTAAATAGACTGAGGACAATCTGCAATTTACTTTCTGCTAGGATTTCCTTTTCCTAGATGACTTCTATCTTACATCAGCTTGAGTATGTTAAGTAAGCAAATTATTCTTAAAGCCACATGGAATACTTTCTGAAACAAGAGAGAATATTAATAAATATAATACAGAAAATTAAGTGTTCTGATACCAGAATAATGAAATATTTTTGCATTTTGACATCAAAACACATAAAAAAAAAAAACAGGAGTTTTACTCTGTTGTACGCCATATGTACCTTCAGTTACCCACAGTCCCCTCTGAACCATTAACACACTTAGGGAGCACTCTTGGACATTTGCATTAGATTTATAATTTACAAATGTAAAGTGCTTTAAATTGTCTACATTTACCTGGGTAAAAAGATCCATTTTACAGGTAGGGACAATTGAAATACTCTTGATGCTAATGGAACTTCTAATTCCATTAGAATATGAAATGTTGGCATCTTTGATTTTCTACCAGTATTTAGCAATGTCACTGGAAGTGCACCCATAAGCACTTTGATCCAATAGTGTCTCTCCCATTCCTAGCAAACTCTTATATATACTTCATATTTTTATCTGATTTTTCTCACATATAGTTTTTATTAACACCTAATTTAACATCCTCTGTTCTGGAACATTTACAAAAGTCAGACTATAAATAAGAGTATAGACTATGCAGCCATCCCAGACCCTCAAGTCTGTACATCAGGAATTGTAGGCTGGCCAGGTCCCCTGGGGACCAAAGTGCCACAAGAAGTACTGGACATAGTGACCTGTCTGCATGAGGTGAGAAAAAAAAAATAGGAGGTCTGCAATACTGATGAACTAATCTGTCACTCACAAGCTCAGGTCCCCCAAAATGAAAACATCCAGTAAACATTTAATGACCAGGTGAGGTGGAAATGCAAACCTTTATTTTCAAATGATATTCAGATCCATGGCTCAGAAGTTCCTTAATTGTTTGAATTGATTTGAAAATCATCTGAAGGATAACAATCCATCCCGTGGTTCAAGGGGTTAGGAAGCTTGCTACAGATAACTGCTATCAAAAATCCAGTTTGATTTCCAAAAACTGTTTGAATGTACCAAGTTTCTTGATCTTGATATACTAGGCAGGGAGTTTGTTCTTTGGAGTACTAGACTGCTTAATTGCTTGCTGGAGGGAGGGAAAATCCTGGGGGAAAAGGCATATATGAGCAATATCTACTCTGTGAAGCCAGTACTCTCTCCCCAGCTGGATCATGGCCAGCAACACAGAAAAGTCTGCTCTTCCCTCCAGTGGAGGGAACTGTAGATATTTGATCCTAGAAGTGAATGAAAAAAATCTAAAGATCATATTTCATGGGAATCTTTCAGTATTCTGAATGGAAACTAGAACTGCAAAGTGGTTATTTGCTTCTCCAACTCAAAGCTGTCTAGGAACAGGACTCAGAGACACTTGATAAAAAAGAACAAAAAACATTATTATTTTAGTATGTATTGGAAAAGGAGCCAAAACAAACATTTGCATGATCAAATGGGACTGTCCACCCCTGCTGAGTAAGTATAAGAGGGTATTAAAGTCAAGAGTTGAAAAAGAAACAATCTCTTTCTGATTATGGGTGATCATAAAGCAATAAAAATTATTTTCTCTTTCTTTTCCTTATTATTAGGAGTAATCATTTGAATAAATGTTCTTATCTGTGTTGTAACAATTAAAATAAATTAATTTCAAGCATGTATATCATTTTTCTTTTTGTGCTTATTGATATGGGCTCCATTTAGATATTCTGACTTGCATGGTATATATGTAAGACAATACAATATTTTTCCTTCCTTCCAATTTCAAACAAAAATTAAAATTAAGCATTTTAGTGTGTATATTTTTAACACATATATCATAACAATCTTCAGGAAAATTGCTTTTATAATTTACTAATGTGACAATAAGTATATTTTTAAGCAAATAATTTATAAGAAATGACATCAGAAAACATGTGGCTACTTTAATGCAACTAGTTACTGAGTATTCATTACAAGTTATTAGCATATATAGTTCTTGGGCATAGAGAAGTTTAAAAATGATTGAGAGCATACAAAATACAGAACTATGTAATAATAACAACTGATTTTAAATTCTAACAAACTATAAGTGTAGCATTTGTAAAATATAAACCAATTCCTTTTAAAAAGTATATGCCAGAACCATTTAAAACTCTACACCTTTACAGATGATTTCCAATAAACAATTTTGAATAATAGACTAGAAGTGTCTCCCCTGATTTTTCACCAGAAATATACACAAAAGGAAATTCTATCTCTTATTTGGGACTAAAGCAGAACAATTTAGCATAGTATTAAGTAGTATTATTTATATTATTACAGAATAGAGAGGTAATCGAAGAATAAAGTTTTATTAAACAGCACAGGACAGTTGTCAGGGGCTCAAGTTTTATTTGTACACAAAAAAGTCACTACTTTAAAAGATATTAATATAATTCCCTATGCCAAAATTATTTAGCTCTATCTGATAGATGTACTCATCAAGGAACATGTATAATGACTGAAGCAGGTACTGACAGTGTATAAAATCACTTTGCATATTTTCTCCTGACAAATGTATGCCCAGAGACTTCCTTTTATATATGCCAGTAGAACAAAAAACAACTTGAAAGTTTTAAAAAATATTTTTTCTGTTGAAGCAAACATGTACTTTTTTAAAAAATAGAGTGAGCCTGTGGAAACATGGTATTATATATCTGACATTTTCCATCTAAAAATACATTATGAGGCATGCTGGTATTAATAAACCATGTGCTTTCAAAACCCTGAAGTGCTTTGCTATAATTTTGTTGAAAACAGAGTAAGATGGTATATTTTCCACCATGCTATTAATATACAGCAAACACATTTTATGTCATCACCTTGCCAGCTTGTCTTGATTGGAAAGTGTGCAAAAAATAAAAATAAAAAAACTTTTAAGAGTTCATAAATATTCGTAACCATATTCTGATTTATGAGTTAAATCAGAATTCTTAAACAAGCATGGGTAACTCAGGGAAATTTTAGTCAAAAAAAAAATTACCTCCCAAAAACAAATACCCACTACACCATATATATATTCCCTTTTTCTTCACCCCACCCCCATCATAGTCAGAAAAATCAGCCTCCCTCTGCAGCAGGGTACTATCATTCCTTTCACCACTTCAGTTATTGGAAGGCAAATGAAAATACAATGATCCTTTCCTCTTCTCATTTAGCTTACAACGCAAACATTTAAACACAAACATAAACTACCGATTGAACAGAAAGCACCAAGCAGAGAGAGTAGGACTCACTGACCCATTTGGAAGACAAAGACGACAGAACAGGAAAGCTCTAAAAATCAGCTTGTGAGGCCTCTGAGAGAGATTCTTCTGGCATTTCATCACAGCAGCCCCAGACCAGTTCACCTCCCAGGATACGAGGAGGAGGAACTAAATAGAGCTGTTTATTAAAGCTGTTGTGCTGGATTGCATTAGGAACCGCGAGCGGACCACCTGGACCTTTCAGATTGTGGCAGTGTTTAATTTGCAGCCTGTCCCCCTGCAGCAGCCAAGACGACTACTACTACTACATTTACCAGGCTCCATCACACATTATCGGGGTTAGAAGTAAAGGCACTTGTATTTCTATATTTACATTTTCCATATGGGGAGAAGGAGAGAGAAGAATATAGACCAAATAAAAATACTGAATAGCACTAGAAAAAAATTTTAACAACTACCTTGGAAACATATAACACTTTATTCTCTTCTCATACTTTATTTCTTTCAGAGATCACAATCTAAACAGAAAAAATAAATAAATTCTTAGGAATGGATTTTTTTAAAACATTCAGACCAAATCATAAATTAGATATGTTCTTCGATTTTTGTTGTTGTTGTTGTTGTTGTTGTTTTAGTTTTTGTTTAAGAGCACCGCATTGAAGTTTTAAGCTGAGGTTTGCTGGCCAGATTTAATGGGTGCCTTTTGCCTTTCGCACTTTCAGCACTACACTGGCAGGTAGCTGAAGATACAGATAGAAAGATGGTACAGTAAATATGAATTATGTGAATCATATGGTGAGACCCTTGTGGAAAAAAGGGGAGTTGAGAAATGGCTGACTCCATACCTGACCAATTACAGCTTGCATGGTCCCCGTGTCCTGCTGCGCTGAGAGATCGCAATCCATCATATGTTGTCTTTGAAAAGGAGAATGGGGGTTTCTGGCATGCATCTGTCAATCAACTTCTGCACTCACAACCATCACCAAAAGCAAGGGGAAAAAAAGTCAAGCTGCTCCACCAAATAGGATGAAACCGTCATGTGACCTCCGGCAGACAAGCACACACACATTCACTACCTCCATAGAGCGTAAGAATTTTCTGTAGATATGAAATGACATTGACAAATATCCAATACCAAGTAAATAAAGTGAGACAAACAGCTATTCACCAAAGACAAAACGTTGACTGTAATCTTCTGCTAAAGGTTTTAACAAACCTATAAGGATTTTTTCAAATGCTCTAAAAATCTATGTTTAAAACAAAAACAAAAATTTAACTATTTCATGTGAGTGATAATTAAGACTTTAATTTTCACTGCATAAAATGTAAAAATTATGATTCATTACCTTATTTCTCTTAAGATGCCTCTAATAATTTTATTTCCAAAAGCTCTAAATGACTTTTTGACAATACTCAGTAATCACTGCAGTTTTGTATAAAGTCCTCTTTATAGAAAAGCTTGAAATGTTAACCATCACATAACACAGATTCTTTGATATTTGTTTATTTGAAATAGATATATACAATCATTTGTGTAAACTGTGATGACCATTCAAATATAAAATATTCAAAGAGTGTAAATAGTAGTCACTAAACTTTTCATCTTCTAAAAGGTTAGAAAGTGATTTACTTGCAGCTCATCTAAACAGATGTAATGTGATAACAAGTATTTTAACTTTTTTCCATTGAATTTAAGCTACTTGATCCTAAACACTATAGGACAGATTGGCAGTGTATTATGGGTCAGTTATTCTGAGATATGAATATGATCTAGTAGATTTTTAACCCTTTCAAGATTAAGATCAGAACTTTGAAGACAACCCTGCAGATACTGCAAAGTTGTTCTCTGAAAACTCAGCCATAAACAGTATCCATTAATTTGGTGACTTTTTTTTTTTTAGTTTAAATTTGTCCAATTTTAAAAACTGACGTTCATTAGTATACTTGCCTTAACTTTTCGAAGAAAAAAAAATTCCAAGAAAATTTTGTGTTATGAAAATAGGGATTTTTTCAAGGCTCAAAACATGCTCTGCTTGAGAGGTAGAGAGACAAGAAACATTTACCACAATATATATGCTACTGTGTATATTATAATATTATGTAATATCCATAGGTTAATTAAATAGAACTTCAAGTGAAAAAAATCAATTTTTAATATTTTCAAAGACTGTTTTAGGAGAAAAAAAGCGCGAAGGATTGAAGTCCCATAGACTTCCCATTAAGAATAAACAGATACACACACACACACACACACACACACACACACACACACACCAGCATCCCCAAACAAAAGAAACCCTGCACCAACTATGTAGCCCTTTGGGGAACTGAGGAATGGAAAGGTCCTACAAAACATTCAAACGCACGGTCCCCGCTGAAGCCCTTTCCATCCATGACCCTGGAGACGCACACACACCGGGTGTTCTGAAATCACCCCAAATCAGCATCTCACACATCCATCACTACCTCTGGCCCAAGATGGGAAGCAGAGGCATCCCAACCGGGAATACAGGGGATCAGGCCGCACTTGCCCGAAACTTGCGGGCTAGCAGAGGGCAGGCGGGGCGCGACTGCTCAGGCGTCGCCTTCTGGGACCTGCTCCTGCAGACTCTAGGCACACACGCGGTGTGACGGGACCAGGAAAGTTACGGAGGAGGGGCCAGTTGAACTCGCTGGCCTGGGCAGAGCTCAGCAGCTGCCCTGACATCTAGGATTCTTGGGTAACCCACGGCTAAGTTTGGAGCGCGCCCCCGGCCCCAACCGCCCCTGGCGGCGCCGACCCCCACGTCCTCCGCGCCGGCGAGCCCTGCGCCCTCTGCCTGCTCCTCAGAAGCCGAGCCCAGAGCGCGAGTAGGGAATAGGGGTCAGATCTCGGGGGTGCACTTGGGGCCTCGCTGCCGGGCACCCTCTGTAATGCAGATTGTTTTCCACCTGCTGCCACCTCGCTGGCAGCTCAACTTTCCCCTGGGGATCCGGGATGGGGGGCGTGGAGGAGAACACCAGGCTGCATCAGAACCTCCAAATTATGGTGGTTCAGATTGGCATGGGGAAAACACTTCCTTATATCATGTGTACAAGACTATCTGGCCTATAATAATTAGAATTATTACTAGTCAGCATTGATGAAGGACTGAGCCTGACACAGTGTCCCATAGGTCATATTACTAGCTCATTAAATCCTCACAACAACCCAGTGAGGCAGGGACAGTTATTCCCATTTTACAGAAGAAGCTTAAATAAATAAATAAACAGATATCTAGATAAACAAATAAATAAATAAATAGACATTTCTCAAAATTAACAACAGCGTGATTATTTAGACCTGCTTTGAACCCAAAGATAACTTTTTATATGAAACCAGAGTCAAGTAACATTCAAAATAATGGCTACCATATATGAAGCACGGACACATGCAACAAATATTTACGGGCCTGTATATGATGCCAAGTACCGTATTAAGGACTAGAAATACAGCAGAACAGTACGGATCGCTTTAAAAACATAACAAAAATAAACTAAGTGCTTAAAAGATTTGTTTGTGGGATTGTTTGATTCCAGCTGATAGAAGATGCTTATATTTTTCAGGCACCACAATGTTAAGGCATCTCCATCCATTCATTACCCAGGACCCGCTGTGGTCTTGGGCAAATGGCAACTTCTCTGAGTCATGGGTTTCTTGTTTTATACCAGACATAATAATCCCTCAAGGATTTAGGGAGATAATGTTTCTTGAAAGCTTACTAGATTATAGTACAAGGTACCAACAAATGTTACTTTCCCATATGAGAGAACTATAACGAAGCAAGACAGATGAATTTTGCTGGGGAATTGAGGAAGACTCTGTGCAGATGGTGCAAGGCTTTTGGTTGTGATATCAACAGAAGGCAGCTTCTGTTCAGGGCAGGGGAAATAGCATGAGCAAAAACCATCTGTTCCTCCATCAGTGTAGGTGGCACAAGCTTTTAAAATTTGGGCAATGGAAAATAATTGGGAGAGTGGGATATATCCGCGAATGTTTACTCTCACTCCTACAGTAGAATTTAGGAAAGGAAATTCCTTCGGTGAAAAACTCACCATGAACTTCACCTCTTCTCCTTTCTCCTCTTCCCATGAAATTTTCAGAAAATTGTGTGGTTTTGGAACCTTCCTCCTTATGCAAGACAGCAATGGAGGCAGCAGGTCCACTATGAATCAGACCAGAAAAGGCTTCACCTGTGTCTTTCACTCCGGTCTCCAGCTTTTCAGGAGATGGAGTTCCTTCATTTCTTAACATTAAAGCACCCAGGACATTAAGATAAAAGAAACACTGGAAACTTAGATAAACATGGAAGTTTGGGTCATCTCTGTCTTTGTATTCTGTGGATGCTTTGCTAATGTTTGAGGGTGAGAAGGGATAACATGGCTAGAAGTTTCTTCAATATAAGGACCAAAAGCAGGGGAAAAAAATAGGTGGATGTTTAAATGAAATAATCTCCTCCTATTAGAGCGTATATTTCCACTCTTGCTCTCTTTAGATGTAGATTCATTTCAATTCAACCTGAGCTGCCTTTTTTCTGTTGAGACCTGTTCTTTCTCCCTATTTAGTAGTTCGTTCCCTTTCATTTCCAGTTTTAATTTATTTGTTCATTTACTTTTAGTCTTTGCTTTTTCATACTTTTTTTTCCAATCTCTAAAAGATTAATCTTACCATTTCTCCAACTTGGGTTGTTGTTTTTTGGTTTTTGGTTTTTGTTTTCTGGTCTCCCATCCCAGCCCCAACCCATTTGACCAGAGCCTTCTTCCTGGGTGATGCTTTTGTCAAGCATCACACAGTTTCCAAGGTGTATGCCAGGTGGGCATGAGACAGCCTAGTAGGTGTTGATATTCACCATTAAACTCCTCATTGACTTCCCTTTCCCCAGTCGTTAGTTTGTTCTCCCTTCGCTCCTGCCCTCTTTTTCAAGGTCAGTTTTCTTATAATTTTATTTTGCACCATCAGCCTCTGGGATGATCCATTACTTCCTCAGTTTTCACCCCCACCTCCAACACTACATTTTTATCTAGACTTTCAAGTTTTGTAGAGCATTCCTCTGGAACGGTCTTTTCAATCACTATTAGTTTCCTTAAGCGACATTAGATGGCTTTGACTTCCACAGGACATTGACCAGTATAACTAATCTGTATCCTGGGATCTTTTGTTGTTGTTATTTTCATATTTCTAGAGAGCTGAGGACAGGAAAAGTATCAAAAGCAGAATGATTATTTTTAAAAGCAAAAGAGAGGAGGAAAACACTGCAGAAGACCAGGGTGCTGCAGAATTGAGAGGGGCTTGACAACACTCAGCCCAGGCACTGTTAGTGGTGAGGAACTATGATTTACAGTTTTCCTCTACAACATAATTTGGGAGCATGGTTTTTCCCCTGAGAAATAGTGACTAGATATTGCCTTTAAAATGAACAGCTGAGAAGTTCAAGAGCCTGTTGACTCTTTACAAAGGAAGATCTATGAATACACTAATGCATAATCTGACCTCCAGCTTTGTTATCTTTTCTACCAGGTGACTGTATCCAGGATAAAAACAGAAAATGTCTTCCCAGGGAACTAATTGTTTCTTAATTCCCATTTGCCCCTTCCACAAAATGCTTCAGTTACAGTTATCATTTTGGTCTTCTAGAATGTATTTCTTCAACCCGAACATGCTCAGGAAAAGGCACTGAAATAAGTGCTCTGGGGCTTCACTGTTCTTTTTGGCAGTTTTGGTGTCTGAGCCTAAATGATAGTACATAGCTTCTCACAGGAATTCTCCACAGTGGTACAGACACAGTCTGTTTCCTTATATCACAGGCCCTGGAGGAGGGGCCTTTTCTTCATGGCCACACCTCCGATGCCTAAAAAAGCTAAATAACACTGTCCTTTTATTCCTCCTATCAGTAGGTTCACAGCATTCAGTCTTAGTTCCATTGTTTTGAAAACAAACATTTTTAAATGGATATCTGGATGAAACCAGATTCATTAAAAGGACTTTACCACTCACCTCTTTTTTGGAAAACTCATTACTATTCTGACTTTTTCTATCATCATCATCATCACCAATAACAATAATAACGATAATACATATAGAAGTGGTATTCAAAGTGTAAATTGCAGACTCAGAAGGATTCCTGAAGCTCTTTTTAGGGGGCATGTAAGGATAAGACTTTTTCAAAATGATAGTAATATTAGACAAAATAGTGAACAGAATGGTAGGTACTGTTTTACATTGTTGCAGATCTTATTCATATCAGTTTACTAGAAGACACTTAGGGGTCTCTTGTCTGCTTCTCCATTCAATCTGCTAGGAAGTCACACACCATTTAGCCTTAGGACCACTCCACTGTATACTCTTCAGAAAATCAGACTGAAAAAAAGATAATCTAACATTAGTATGTAATGTAATTATTCTAAGTAAATAAACTTTTTAAAATTTCTCATCTTTAATTTCTAACATAGTAAATATTGATAAACATAATTCTCCAACACAAAAGCATTTAGGGGTTCTAATTAATATTATAAAGAAGTAAAGAGGTCCTAAGACCAAAATGTTTGAGATAACAGACACAACAGAGTATTACAATTTGTCATGTGTTATTCTAAACAGTTCACTCATATTAACACACTTAATCCCTACTTTGACACTAGGAAGTAGATATTTTTATCTTGATTTTATGGATGAGAACACTAATGGAAGCATGACATTGAACACTATAAAAACAAAGATTCTTAAAGATGAATGCATCTGAAACAGCAAGTTTATATGCAATGACTTCTGGATGGAAATGTTGTAAAAAAATCGTTAAGTATTTTAAAGTTATTTATTTACTTATATATTTATTTTACAGAATATTCATCTGTGATCAACATCAAACCTGTGTCCCAGTAATTCAGGAGTGTCCCCAGAGTCTGTCACATGCCTCAAAGTAAAGTCAAAAGGATGAAGGAGTACCTGGTTCTGCTTCATCTCTATTGCTAACTCCTTTATGACACTAATCCTGAATGAAGGCATTGCAATTTCAGTGCTTTTCCCAGTTACATCATTTTGTAACAGCCAAATCTCCACGTTAGTTGGCAAACATGATCTACACAGGACATTAAAATTGAAAATCCCAAACGCAGTGCTGCACACCTGTAAATCTCAGCAGCTCAGGAGGCTGAGGCAGGAGGATCACGAGTTCAAAGCCAGCTTCAGCAATTTAGCAAGGCCCTAAGTAACTCAGCAAGATCCTGTCTCTAAATAATATATGTGTGTATAAATATATATATATATACACACACATATATATATACACACATATATATATGTGTGTGTGTGTGTGTGTGATTGAAACCTATCTTTTTAACTTAAACATTCATTTGATTGTAAAACTATAGTTAAAGCACAATACAAGATGACAGCCATCAGAAACAGAATTGTAGGTATATAACCATGTTAATTTTATCTAACCCTGCCATTTGGGATGATCCTCTTGTAGAAAGAATATTATTTCTTCAAGAAAATATTTGATACACTATTTAGAAAGAAAGGTCCAAAGGAAAGATGGAAGAAGATATAAAATAAAAGTACAAATAATAGACATTAAGAATAAAACTATATATGAAGGAGAACAGGAAGGAAAAGGGAGAAAAGAACAAGGGAAAATAGGAATGCTAGAAGCCTGAGCTCTTTAGAGTGGGTAAGAAATTCCCCACTGTATTCCTGAGGGTAATGAGACTCTTACAAATAATGATAGTCAATACTCAGGCTAATCAGGTAGGTTCTTGTTGTTCTTGGTGTTGTTTATTCTTCCCTGCATGGTATATACAGTTTGATTCCCAAACTTTCAGCAACATCTGCAGAACATATAAATTCTTGGATGAAGGAACATGTTTCCAGGGAAAGGAAGGTCTGAATTCCACGTCTGAGTCAACAGCAACAGGCAGAGGGACAAGCTATGGAAAGTGAGATGTAATGAGTTCAAACATTCAGCAGAGCCAGAAGAAGTGACACAGAATGTGAACTATTATCTGTTATAATGCAAGAAATGCAAAACTTAGTTCAGGTGTTTTTTGGACAACGAAGATAATTTACTGGATCACAAAGCTGAAAAGTACAGAGGCTGGGAGACTTCATGTCTGGCTCAATCTAAAGGTCTATAATGTTAATAGAGCTCTAGCTACATCTCTCCGTGAGTCCCTTGGCTCCATTTCAATCTGAGCATTGGTTTTTGGCTCCCCTTGGTAACAGTTGGCTACAGCAGCCTCAGGTCTTTCACAATACTACAAACCATACCGTTTAGAACAAGAGAGAGACCCCTGGCTTCAAACCATCCAAGCAAAGCTCAGAGGTTCTCTTTGATTATTTTAGGACACACACCCAGCTCTCAACCTCTCAGTTCAAGGGGACAGAATAAGTTGGATGACTTAGCTTTGATGGTGCCATCTACTGTAGGAGCTGGAGGCAGAACCAAGGCCCTGGAAATGCATGAATCTATAAGCAGCAATTAGGATCTTACTGAATGAATGAATGCTGGGTCAATGGAAAGAGGGACTATGAAAAGAAAAAGGAGAAGGAGACTACTAAAACAGATCCTGAGAATTCACAGATATTTTGCAAATCCATGCAAAATGCACAATAAAAAAGGCATGAATACATTTTAACTAAATTTCAACAGTCCTATCTCAGATGACCTGATGGTAGTTTTGAGTATTAAAAGAGAAAATGTAAATCTTCCCTGCTTCCCTTCTCATGGGGGAGTAGGGACAAGGAAGAATGAAAGAACTTTAGATTGGGCAGAGGGAAGTGAGGGGAGGGGAGCAATGTAGATGTGGGAAATATGATGGAATGCGATGGACATTATTACCCTATGCATGTGTATGATTGCACGAATGGTGATTTTGCATTGTGTACAACCAGAAAACTGAAAAGTTGTGCTCCATTTGTGTAAAAAGAATAAATGAACATTCAGAAGTGAAATGATTGAGTTATAAGAGCCCTGACCCAATCAGTGGATTAATTCTCTAACAGAATTAACTGAGTGGTAACTAAAGGCGGGTAGCGTGTGGCTAGAGGAAGTAAGCATTGGGGTGTGCCTCTGGGATTTATGTTTATATCTGGAGAGTGGAGTCTCTCTCTGCTTCTGATCATCATGTGAGCTGCTTCTCCCCACCACACTCTTCCACCATTATGTTCTGCCTCAACTCAAGCCACAAAGAATGGAGCTGGGTGTCTATGGACATGAAACTATGAGCCTCCAAATAAAATTTTCGCCCTCTAAAAATAAAAGAAGAAAGAACATGTTCATGAATACCTCTCATAACATGTGATAGTAGAGATTTATAAATTGTAGCAACATTTTCCTTCCACTTTACTTTTTCTTTCCTACTACAGAATATATTATATAATTTATGGTTTAAGCAACAGTGCTTTTTTTAACACTGTGTTCTCACATAATAAAGATTTGTAAATTATAAAATAATACTAAAAAACAGATAGTTACCTTGGTAGAGAACTAAGTAATTGTTTTTTCTTCAGCATATAGAAATTTGGGGATGTGGTTGCAAATAGATGAGAACAACAATAAAACACAGCAAAGTCCTGGTCATAGTATTAGTGAATGTGTTCAAATTTCCAGAGACTCTTGGTATAATCCCAATGATGAGATTAATTAAAAGGGATGAACAATAGGCCTAATGAAGACTGGTTTTGTCTGGGCCCATAGTGAAGAAGAAAATTGATAAGAGGAAAATAAAGTTTAAAACACACACACACACACACACACACACACACACACACCACATATTCACAACACTTAAAAAGGTGAGAGTATACATGCAACAAAACAAAATGATAAATTTCATTGAATAGCCATGGTATTAGACATCTTTAGAGTTGTTTCTAGAAGCAACATTCAAACCTAAGTAGCCAAAAAGATCAGCCTGTTATTCTAATCTATATAGTTTAATAATCAATAGATAACTCTTCCAATGCTTCAGCCCCTTAACCTGTTTATCCTTGGTATTCTTGTCCCCCACCCCATCTCAACCACTCATTCCCAGAGTCATATCTAGGTCCTACCAACAATTGTACCACCTCCACCATCTCAATTCCAAACCTCCCATTCTCTTACCATTCTTTCATATGGAGAGAATTTTCCGAATGCCATCATTTCTTTAACCTCATTAGTGTCCCAGACCACTGACCATTACTATTCTTGATGTTATTTCCCTCCTTCACAAACTTAAAATGTCACAGTTTATAATCATTCCCTTCTAGGAAGGAAAAGATTAGCTGCTGGTTCTGTCAACTTTCCTCCAGCCACCTGGGAATTTGACCACTGGTTGCATATCTGCCGCAACTTTAACACAAAGAATGGTCAGAAATTCCACATACACCTGATGGACGGAGAAGAAATCTAGCTGACAGTGATAGACCAAGCATGTGCAAGTTGTGAGTTGACAACTTGAGAGGGCTACATGACCTGTGAAGTACTGAAGAGACCCCAAGCTTTGCCTTGCACTGACTTGATGTTGTCTATATGCATCCCAAACTCAGTGGTCAAGTGTCCCTGAGTTCAATTCCCAGTACCCCCAGCCAAAAAACGCACTTACATCCCAAGTACAGAATGAGTAAGAAATCAGAAGTTCTGCCTTAGGAGTCACAGACCTCCTTTATGCCCTCTCTCTGCATGCTGTGTTGCTTACTAAAACCTAAGTAAACTTGGGGCATGTTGAAGTCCATCACATCTCATATGTTCACTTGTCTATCTGAACCCCAAATCCCCACTGCCAATGAACAGAGTGGTCATTAACACTTGTGGGCATCTGATTTTTTTCTTCTCGGGTTATACTAATAGCGAAAAACAGCCCAAGCTAAATCCATCGTTTTACCTTGAACCTGCACCCAACCAAAAAAAAAAAAAAAAAAATTTCGGAGAAGAAAAGCACACCGATCTTACTTTAAGAATATAAACCTCAAAGTCCATTTCTCTGGTCAAATCATTTCTCGCTTGCCAAATGCACAATTCTAATGCTTTTTCTTCCTTTCTCAAGCCTGCAGCAATCGCTCACCACTCCTCCCACTCAATGATGACCTTATTTCTGCTTTCCCCCAAAACACAGAAGCAGAGAATTTTCACCCACTCTGCCGCCAAATCTGCCAATCTGTGTGAATGTGTACCCAATGTTCTGCCTTCCCTTCAGTTAAAATGGATGAGATGTTCTTCCTTTTGAATAAGAACCAGGCACTGGTGCAAAGGATCTTTTTTCCTTTCAAGTACTCTTCAATTCCGCTTTTATAATTTTCCCCTCTTTCTTCTACAATCAGCAAAATTTACATCTCCAGTAGACTATTCCCATGAACACTAGGTTATCATTAAAAGCATCTGTTCTCAGAACCTCTTTCAGCAATCACTCCCAGTTGTCTGCCTTGTTTTATAGAAAAATTCCTCAGAATGGTCGACTTTAGGTGCTATCTTCCCCATCCCTGGCAAACATAAGGAAAATTCACATTCTTACACTACTTTCCTACTAGAACTATCCTATTAAAACTTTATGTAGAAAATCTAATGGAATCTAAAAAAAAAACTAACAGAACTAAAAAGCAAGATTTAAAAATGTTACCAGTTATTAACTGTATTTTTATATACCAGCAATAAAAAACAATTAAAAATTGAAATTAAAAATGACATTTACAATAGCATAAAATATGAAATCCTTTAGGGATGAATCCAACAAGATATTTAAGACCTGCTCGCCGGGCACAGTGGCACACACCTGTAATCCCAGCAGTTCAGGAGGCAGAAGCAGAAGGATCAAGAGTTCAAAGCAAGCCTCAGCAAAAGCGAAGTGCTAAGCAACTTGTGAGACCCTGTCCCTAAATAAAATACAAAATAGGGCTGGGGGTGTGGCTCAGTGGTTGAGTGCCCCCGAGATCAATCCCTGGTACTCCCTCCACCCCCCCAAAAAAAAGACCTGCTGAAAAAAAATAAAGAAGATCTAAATAAAGAAGACCTATGTAGTGCTCATGAAAAAACCCTCAATGTTGTTAAGATGCTAGTTCTTCCAAAATTGATCAAAATTTAATGTAATAAATAGATTTAATGTAAATCTATTTAATTTAATGTAATACCAAACAAAATCATAGCAGGAGTTTTTGGTAGAAATAGGTAAACTCTCCTACTTTGCTGGCAGGAGTATGAAATAGTGCAAGTTTGGACACTTTAGAAAGTTAACAGTGTACCATAGGATGTTGCCATCCCACTCCTAAGTATTTACTCATAAAAAATAAAAAAAATATGTCTTCGCAAATATTTGTACACAAATATTCATAACTCCTTTATTTTTCAGTAGCCCCAAACTTAAAACAACCCAAAAAGACCATCAATAGGAGAATTTATAAATTATGTATTCCCCCACACAAGTCATATTTCAAACTACTAAAAAATTTAGAAGAATCAAAGTGTTGATATAGACTACAACGTGAATAAATCTAGACTAATTATCCTGAGTAAAAGATATCAGACTAAAATAGAGTACCTACTATATATGAATTTATATGAATTCCATTCATATAAAACTATAGAAAATACAAATTAATACATGTTGACAGAAAGCAGATCAGGATATAATTGATACACAAGAAACTTCCCTATTCAAAATGTACTATGTAACTTTTGTTAGAAGTATGGGGTAAAGTGCAAGTTAGGAAAGTCAAAGACGGATTAGGACAGGCACAAGAAAACTTTTTGGGGTGATGGATGTATTCACTAACTTGATGGCAATGATTGTTTAATGGGATACAAATGTCAAACACACCAAATCATACCCTCAAAATATGTGTTTCAATTTACCTCAGTAAGGTTGTATGTTATGATTTGGATCTTAATGTCCCCCAAAGGCTCATGTGTTGACAACTTGATTCCCAATGCAGCAATGTTCAGAGG